CCCCCCCGTTGATAATTCTCGATCGTTGGCACGCTGATAACAATTTTTTTTTTAAATGCCACTTCATATCAAAAAGGTTGCCGACCCCTGCTATAGCTAGTTGTTAGTGATTACAGCACTGCCCAACAGTGTTTATTGAAATACAATATATTTTAAGCAGTACAGAGACGGCAAATATATGCTGCAGCCTTGAGAATGTCCATGCGTGTGTTCTTATCATTTTACAAAGAGTTGAGCATCAACTCATCCACTATTTATATGGAGTGGTGCAGGGATGACGTAATTACCCGGAAGTAAGCTGTGCATGGGTTCCCTCGACAAAAAGGCAATGGGATTTCTCCATAGGATTTTTCCATTTTGGAAAATAACTCGAAATAAGGTCTGTGGAAAACGAACCTGTTTGATAAATGCACGTTTTATTCAGCCGGATAATATCCACGTCTACCCTACTTTTATAATGTACGAATCATAAATCGAATCGGCAGAAGCAAAATACTAACGTTATGCTATAAACGAACAACAGCCGAGTACAGCATGGTCGCACGACTTCAACGTCATGCCAACTTAAGATCCATATTCAAAAATACAGATTCAAAATTGTACAAGTTGAAGCATTTGTTTTAACAGTTTGCAAGAGGCAGGTACTTGCTTTCAAGCAGAACAGGGGCAAACAAACTTAGCGGGAGTGTTTACGTGTTCGGCGTAATGACGTACAATGTCCTCGAGAACATCTGTAGTCCTATTAGGCCACATGTTAACAACCATTGTTTTTCAGACATGTAAACTCTTCCAAAATCCCCAGTTGGGTCACTTCTGATGTATTTAATGTCGTAGAACATAACGTGATCCGTCTCTTAAATTTGTGTCAACCACAGACCTTATTTCGAGCTATTTTCCAAAATCCTATGGAGAAATCCCATTGACTGAGACGAGAGAACCGGTAATGGTAAAATGCTAACACACTTCCGGGTTTAAGGACTCATCACTGCACCACTCTATTGGATCGTTTCTCTAATATACTACACATTACATACATTAAAGGTGGGGTAGGTCATTTTGGAGAAACCAGCTCGAGTGCGCTAGAATTTGAAAATACACAGCCGGAACAAATCTGCCACTTCCTTACAGAGCCCCTCCTCCAACACACACGAACGCGCACATGACCAATGAGGGCACGAGATAAGTTTGTGCACAGATGAAAGGCTGACAGGCAGGAAGGCCATCCAGTTATTTTACCTGGGCCGGCTTAAATTATTGGTCGAGCTTTTTACAGTACGACCACAGTACAGTTTTTTTATGGATTCTTTGTCAAAGCACTTAAGATATTCATTGCTATCGGGATGTTAAGAGCATTCCATGGAATATAACAAAAAGTGTATCTCGAGCCGGTTTCTCAAACTTACCTACCCCACCTTTAAAGTTAGTCCAAAGAAAATCTTTCCCCTCCACAACAAGAGATGACACAGCATTATGGGCGTTGTAGTTTCCAACATCACACAGAATGTGATAAGCACAGTAGATTAAGGAGAATGTTTGCACTTAATGTGTGTTGGCTCGGTAATCACAGAGCTAGCTTAACTCGGGGCACAGGGAGACAGTCAGCAAGTGATGCAATTATGGGATGTGACATTTAAACACCCACCCTCGTTTTAACGCTCACACATACAGACACCATATGTATGCGCTCCCTCTTTAGAACGAAGGATTGACATGTTCGCCTGGAAGAGGAAAAACAAAGAAATGGAGTCTTGCCTCTGCCCACACACACTCTCTGTATGGATGGCATTTGTGCGCTACGACAATACAGAGTGGTTCTGAGAGAGCAGATTAGTGCGCGCGCGCGTGTGTGCATGTGTGTGTGTGTGTTTAGCTGTCTGGAGCCCATCCATCTCAGTTTTGCTCCTGGTCTGTCTCAGTCAAACAAAGATAGCAAAGCTGGCTGTGGTTAGCAACCAAATCCTTGCTTTAGGCATACGATACCTTCCATCAAATTAAAGCGTTATTTTAACTTTACAAAGTCTTCAAATGCATTGCAAATTGAAATGTAACTTTCACGGCAAACAATGACAAATAGACAGGTCATTTTGAATATAGTTTCCCTCTTCGTAATATGTTGCATCTTCAAGGATGCACCTCATTAAAATCCCCCAAAACTAGATTAAGCTTTGATACTTTAGGATAATAAAGAAAGCCGTTATAATGAGGAACCAACACTGTTAGATTGTTTCAAAGCCTCATTCAAGTCAAACAAAGACAGTCAACGTCATAAAATCTTCCTCTGCATCCCACACTAGACACCTTCAGATAATGGTCCTAAAATGTAATGTTTATTGGCAGTGAAAAAAAAATGTATTCTGAAAGTGGGGAAGAGCTAAAGAATCAGTACAGCTAGAGATAAATGATGAAAGGGGAATGGCTAATTAAAAGTAATAATCCATATGTACCAGCCATGCAAGTCACAGATATAATGACACTTTATCGCAGCTTAGTGTAACCCTTTTCCATATCTGTTATACCATCAAAGCCTTATTGAGACCCTGCAGCCTCAAGGCAGATTAAGTCACATTCTGTTGAAACACTAACTCTTTAGATCATTATGTTTAACACATCCCTATATAGTTTAAAATCCACCATATCATTTAGTGCTCGTATAGCAAGTAATGGTGTCTCCCAAAACGGAGCTCTCAGAGACTTCATCAACCCTAATCCCTTTTCATTCTTCATTTCATTTTTCTCCAGTAGCTCACAGTTATAGAATTTTATTAAAGTGAACTCACTATGTGCCTCCAAACTAAAGGCTCTCTAAAAGAAAGTGTATATATGGGACATTTTGTATAACTAGAGTACTTATTGGCTGATTACAGCAAAAGATGCCTTCATCAAACCAGCAAACTACATTAAATCTAAATATAAAGTAAAATATAAAAGAGAAACTGTGTTCATGTACTCTGTTTCTTTGTAATTTGGAGATTAAGAGTACTACATCCTTACTTGTGTCCTTACTGCAAGCCATTTATAGAAACAGAAACAGACAGACTCAAATTACATTTCGCCCTGAGTCATCTAGTGTATTTGTTTATCTCTTCCTTTTCTAGAAGCCCGTCCCTCTTCCCCAACCATGTATTTGCTTATACAGTAATGAAGGATGGCTAAACAGAATGGTTGATGTTAGCCATGATTATGAGATACAACTGGACAGATTTGAACCTTTTAGACTAATCTAACATAAGTCATTCTGCCAAAACAACTCTATATCGGATGCTTAATCCATAAATTATGGCTACATAAACACATAAGAGGTCATATGTGTTTAAGGTACTTAAAATCAGCACATATCTGATCCAGCTGGATAAGAAGATAGCAAATCCCAAATGCGTCATGGTAATAAACATGGTACTTGGTTGCAGTCCATGTGACCCGTCAGGTTATTCCAGGTCTAACACAGCAGATGTTCATCTCTTTATGGGTGTAACGATTGTGTCCCTCCCTCTGGCTATAACACTCCATAGCAGTGACCCACAGCTCCTCCACCCTCATCCCACGGGAGGACAGCACACTCTCTTACGACAACCTCGCACCCCTGCTGATTGTG